CAAACCATTCCATGATTCTATGGGGCACAAATTCCCTGTCAGACAGGAGGGACCTGAACGCGGTCTCCACATTTGAGGCAAAATCCTGCCTTCCTCCCACCTGTAGGAACACCTTGTGCAGAGCCAAGCTGAAGGCTGCAACTCCTACACTGAAGGGTCCCCAGGTGCTCGTCTCTCCCTGGCATTTCTCACTTGCCCACCTCACGTGTCGGTGCCGAGATGTCCCACTCCTTCCAGTTGTGTCCCACCTAAGCCCTACACAAGGACAGCACTGGGGTGCGCACATGCCAAAATCCCTTCTCCCTCTGGGTGGGAAACAACTCCATCTCCACTCCCTAAACCACGGGGTGAGGCAATGCCAGGATGAGCCCTCGCAGCCCAGCAGACTGAGGGCACCTCATCCCGCAGCCGCAGCCAGGCAGAGGAGCTCCCCACCTCCCATTCCCAGCTAACAGTGCCGCACTGTACCGCTTCCCACCAAGATCTGCAGCCCCCAGATCTGCTCCTGGGAGTACGGGATCTCCCAGCTCAGCTCTGCAGGCTGGCACCATGCTAGCATTCCTTATCCCAAAGCCTAGGCACTGGTTCAGGCCTCCCAGCTAAGCTAGACCTTGGCTCCTCCTGCAAATGCCCCGTATCCAGCACCAACAGGCAAAACCGATTAGGGAGGCAACTGCCTCTTGGAGGAGCAAGAGGTCCTTTCCCCTCCTCTTCAGCCTGAGCCCCTCTCATCACACACCTCAGGATAAAATCCATCCCTTTGCTCCTCCCCACATCTTTGGGGGCCCAGAAATCACCTGAGGAAGAGGAAGATGGGTCTGGGGTAATCCGCCTGGCCCTTGTTGTCGTGGTGAGCCATGAAGGGCTTGATGGCGTCCAGGAGGCTGGAATGAAGTTTCTCCGCCTCATCGAAGATGAAGAGGGGCTGCTTGCAGAGCTGCACAGTCTCGCTTATCTGCTTCTTCAGCTGAGCCTGGGAGCCGCGGGGAGGAGGGTGAGAAGCCCAGCAGCCACCCGGTCACCGAGCAGGGGCTGAGCGGGTCAACCCCGGCCGGCAGAGCCGCTTCCCATTCCTTCCCAACCCGTACGATGGGGCAGAGAATCGGAACAGACAAAGCAAGAAAACAAGCGAGTCAAGCTTAGTAAGTGAAGGAAAGAGGAAGAAGAAAGAAATGAAGCGTTGCAGAGGCAACTGCTCGCACCTAGCACAGACAGACGGATGCCCAGCCACGCATCGCCTTCCTACCCCAAAATTCCCCCCATGTCCCTGCCAGGCATGATGTTAAAGGCAGAGAACGTCCCTGGTGTCAACAGCCTGGTGCATGTCCCCCCCCAACCTACTGACTATGGGGGGAGAGGGGGAGAAGGAGGAAGCCTTGAGGCAGTGCGAGCACTGCTCAGCAGTAGCCAAAACACTGCTGCATTATCAACAGCTTTACTCACAAATCCAAAACACGGTTGGGAAGACAAGGAATTCCATCCCAGCCACACCCCCCACACCACGCTGTTGGCTCTCACCTTGTACGAGTCCACGTACTTGCGATGGGGGAAGTGGAAGAGGGAGATGAACACCCTGACGCACTCGCTCTTCAGCCCATCCCGGTACAGGTGACTGGCCACCATCCGAGCCACGAAGTTCTTGCCTGTGCCAGACCAGCCGTGGAAGGAGAGGACCAGCGCCTTCTCCGGCCGCGGGCTCCGCAGGAACCCTTGCACCGCCTGGAGAATAACTGCTTTGGCCAAGTGCTGCCCGTGGAGCTGCCCACTGAGCTCTGCTTCCAGCCCTGTAGCAAAGGGATACGGCACAAGAGCCCGGCTTTAACCTGCGACCCTGGCTGCTGCCGCAGGGAGTAGGAGGAGAAAACGTGGCAGGACACCAAGCCCCCACGGCCTTGCCGGTGGGGCTGCCCATCCGAGAGGGGCTGAAGTGGCATTAAAGCTGCAGGGTTAACGAGGCAGGCTGCCTGTACCCTGCCTGCATCAGCCAACTGATCCCACCTCCCTTTGGGAAGTGGAGGAGGTATTTGGTGACGCTGGAGAGCGCTGAAGCCCAAGGGTCCTCATCAGCTCCCAGCAGAGGGTTTGGGTACCAGAAGTCTCGGGGCCAGCAAAATGTAACGACACCCACACGGGGCTGACATCCCAGCCTCGGTGCACCCTCCCGACCTGGGGCTGGATACGGGGCCAGTCCGGGTCCCACGCAACGCCTGGGAGTACCGGACAAAGGCAGGGCTTGCGGCAAGCTGCTGCTCAGTAAGGGGCAAACAGAGCACTAAACATGCACAGAGCACTAAACATGCCAGATACTTTACGCGGCAAGCTGCTGCTCAGTAAGGGGCAAACTCTGAGACTCGGAACTACAGAGCACTAAACATGCCAGATACTTTACCAGCATGTGCTTGTTAGTTTGAAGCCTTAAATTCTTCTTTGAGACTAACCCATTAAGAGTCTGGCCTCTGCCAGTTACTGCAGGGAATACTCTTTGCTTATTTGAATTTAAAACCAAGGTAGGTCACTACATTTTAGTCCGTATAGGTGATATTTGTAATACTTCTTCTCTCGGGACTCCTAACAAAGCTGGGTAAGACATCAAAAAGCAGGTGTTGCCATTTGCAAGCTGTCTGTGACCCCTTAGCACCCTGCTTGCTTAGCGTTTGAGAAGCACCTCTGTCCCTTGCGTGTATTTGTAGATGATGAAGATAGAACCCAGTAGTAGTAAGTGAGGATTTGGTGTAAGCAGGAAAAACTTCACATGTTCTAGTTATATGGTCTTCATGTTCTAGCCAGCATCGACGCGAAAGAGGACTCGGCTCAGCCCCTCGCCCTCCTGCCAGCTCAGAAACACCCTTTACTCACATCACTCGCTAAGATACACTTTTTTAAAAAGAGAATAAAAGAAAACATAAACAACCAACAGGGAGAGGCAGGGACCAGCAGTGCTTGGGGTGCCCCAAGCCCAGCCCGGCACCCACCTGTGATGTTGTTGGCGATCCTGCAGTCTCCCGTCTCGCAGCACTGGCCGAAGCCGCAGGACCAGGCGGCCAGGATCTCCAGGTAATCCCGGCCCACCAGCGGCAAGCTCCAGCCTGGAAAAGGCAGCGGCCTGAGCTCGCTCCCGCGTCCCGGGCAGCCCAGGGGCAGGGCACCGGGCGGCGGCCATGGGGGACCGCAGACGGGGGCGGTG